ACAAATTCTAGTCTCAAGCTTAACTTGAAAAAGGTTTTCAAGAAATTTCACTTTGGCCAGCTTATAATTAAATTATAGAACCTTTCCTTTAAACAATCATAAGTAATAAAGCTCCTGTTAAATTTTCTTTTAAAAAAAATTAAGAATTCACTATAGTTTTAAATGCATAATTATTTTTTATCTAAAAAAACTTACAATTCTAGTCGTACAATCCTACAGCTTTTCTTTTTTTTTTTAACAAAAAAAAAATACTTGCAAGTCGGTATTACACTACAAAATCTATTAAGAAAACGCTATTCAAAAGAGTTTTCAAGCCTTTAAAGAAAAAACAAAGCGAAGAATGCTTATGTCATACAGCATTTAAATGTGTTCTGGGAAATTATTTTACTATTTTTTTTGTTCGTTTTAGTTTAGTACGCATCGCTTTATTCCATTACTACAGTAATTATCTTATCTGAAGGGGTTCAGAATTACAATACACACTCTACCACTCATTCATTTCAATACCTTTTTTTTGTTGTAAAGGAGTACACACAGAGCCTCGATGGCTCAGGGGATTTAGCGTTCACCTTCCAATGAGACGAAACGGTTCGAATCCAGCGATGGCTGATCGAAACGAATTCCGCATCTGGCTTGCACCGACCACAGTGACGACGTGAAATATACTCAGTGGAAGACGGATTATGGGTTAACGTCCCTTTGCCGTTAGGCTAACCACGGGAGGTTCTAGTGATTTTCCTCTCCATGAATGCAAATGAGGGTTAGTTCCATCAAAAAGTCCTCCACGAAGGCAAAATTTCTCCCAATACTCGGTCCAGAAGCTCCCTATCTTCTGGATTGGGTTCAAAATGACAAGGATACGGAGTTGAACTTTAGTAGTCGTAAACCCAAAATTGGGTCGGCCGTTCAACGACGGTTATAAAAAAATGAAAATAAAAAAAGGAATACACAAAGTAAAAAATCATTGCTTGAATGTAATATTTTATTCAAAAAAGGAAACACTTATACACTTTAGTATAGCAACTTCAAAATCTTCCTTTTCAACGCAACACACTCTGGGTTTTCCATTAATTAGTCCACTATCTCACTTGAATTATTACAGAGGATTGCAGCATTCATAAAGTTCTGGTCACACTTTCTTACTGAACAATATTTTATTTTTACATTTGAGCTTTCCTATTGTCGAATAAATTCCCGAGCAATGGACGGAGAACCTTTTAAAGTTAAGCGCAGGTGAACTTATTGCTGACTTATGAACTTATTGCTGACTTTTCATGTCGTTGAAGTGCTTTCCTTGTTGACAAACAGCTCTTCTAATCAGCGGCTTGGAAACAGCGTTTGATTTGCAGATATCGATTTGCAAGTTTCTCTTGGTATCATCATGTCACGAATTCGACAAAATATTGTTAATTCATTATTTTCCCATGTCCAAGAGGTCGAGGGTTCGATCCAGGCAGCCGAAGTAAATGGTGACTGATGCGCGTTACATCTGTCGAGTCACAAAGACTTCCATTTTCCCATAACAAGCAATGCTTGGCCCTGTCCCGCCGTTGAAAGAGGGCATCCAGGTATTACTGGAGACTATCGTTGGTGCAATTCCTCGAATCAGTCGGAGGATCCAGTTCCATAACAAATCAATGCCTCTGTGGGTACCGATCCAGGAGTTTCCTTGTCTTCTGGTCAAAATCACAAGGCTACGGAGTTTAGCATTCGTAGTCGTTAACCCAAAATTGGGTTGGCTGTTCAAAGACGGTTATAAAATAAAATAACTCGTTATTTTGGTAATCACACAAATATAATAATCACAATAAACTATCATCCTGTTTCGAAATTTTCCAAAAACGTCCAGAACAGTCGGAAACATTTTCGATATTCAGCATGCTTCTTAATCCACAAAAACTCCCTCCGTGTTACAGATTCCTGCCAAGCTACAGATACATGCTTTAATCAACTGAGAAAATTATTCTAAGAAATGGTTTGGGAAAATATTGTAATGAGACATTTTATCAGCGGTATTATTTTCTTTTATTTATTTGTTCCTAGCTGATTTATCTTTTCTTTTTTCTGTTACAGATGATTACTTTGCAAGTTTTCAGAATGGAAACTTTCAGAGGAGCCTTGCAAGAATGAAAACCCAAACTTGTTCAAAATACAAACGCAAATTCAGGCCTAAAATTTTTTCTTCATTTATTTGTTTCTCAGATGATATTTCAAGTTGACATCTTTGGCAATGTGCAAGCGGATCGCTTGGCCAAGGAGGGCTGTAGTCATTTAACATCTTCGTCATCAGCCCTTACCTACTCAGACTATCAGTCCAAAATCAAAAGCCATCTATCAAAAAAAAGGAGGCCATCATTGGTATGCGGCCAAGGAACCGGGGCTCTTCACTTGTTCATATAGGTGATAGAGCATCTCAAACAGCTATTTCCAGATTGGCAAGTGGACACACGAATAGTCTCTCGTACTTTGAAGGAAGAAAGACTTATGCAGTCTGCTCCAAACGTGAAGCCCTGTAAGCCTCAGCCGAACATATCCTTGACTGCTTGGGCCTTTCCAATGAGGACTTATATGCTACTCCACTTCTTGTCATCGTTTTTCCGAGGGTCAACAACCTATTGGATCTTGTCTGACTTCGTCAGACAATTAGAGGATAAGGAACAACAACAACATTGATTTTTCTTTTCTTTTGTTACAGATGATTACTTTACAAGTTTCCAGAATCGACACAACTCTTTCGGAGGAGCTTTGCAAGAACGAAAAGCAAAACTTGCTAAAAATAGGAACGCAAATACAGGCCTAGAAAATTTGCTTCCAGAATCTGGATCATCTCGTTTTGCTTGAAACCTTAGCTCATTGCAACTTCATTCGAGTAGTTAGCGCAATATGTAATACACTTCTCACAATTTTCGTTTTGCAGCTGCTACTTTCAAAAGCGGTAGTTCGAACCATTTCTTCGACCAACGTACAGTTTAGAAATAAATGGAAACGACTTTAACTAACAGTTACGGAAAATAAAATAAAAATCCACCCTGAATAACTTTTGCTCAAGTGTAGAGAACTTACGCGTTTCACAAAACCAAATTTAATGTTTAAAGGGTCAACTCCAAACATACTAATTATAATATTACCTATTAAACGAGTAACAAAAAAAGACACAAAAAATACTCGCTGAATAAACATATATCTTTTGTACCTATTTGGAATTTTGACTATCAAAATAGATTGGGATGCTGAATTCTGGAAAATATAGACTCAATAATTGTTTAGAACTTTTAGAATTTAAGAACTTTTTTAAAGGAATCATACAACTTATGCACTCAATTTTAAAATTTGTTTGTCCAAAGATCCGTGTATAAAACAGCTTTTTTTTAAAAATAATTATTTGTTAATTTGTTTATTAACTGATGAAGCAAATAGTTTTTATTTTTAAACGCACTAGAACTACATAATGGGCTATTGGTGTTGGTCTGACCAAACATTCCCGAAAACAATTTGAAGATATGTCACCACAATTTTGGTTTTTCGAGAAGGAAATGGCTTCCCCGATTTGGTAACTCGGTGACTTGGGCAATCTAGCACTTTATGACATAATAATTTAACGAGGATCGATACCAAGCACCCTCGGTTCCTTTGCAGACAGATCAATGTTGTTACCCACCCGCTCACTGACAGTGGATAATCGAAGTCAAGCATCACTGACAACTGCCAGTCAGTTAGAAATTTCATTACTCATAGTTTATTCTTCCGAATTTCATATTTTATTATTTAAAATAAATAAGTTTAAAATTATGTAAAAGAAGTTCAATAATAAAATTTCAATTTAAAATCTTGACAATTACCAAACAAAATTATTTCAGAAATTTTTTTTTCTCACGAAAATCTCTTTGGGTAAAGAAAGTTTATAATTGTGAGAAATTTTTTTAAAAAATTCTTTATAAAAAATTCCAATAATAAGACGGAAAACACATTAAAAAATTATAATATAAACATTAAAAGGCTCAAACGTTTTACAGCTCTCTTAATTAAGCAATTAGGACCATATTTTCTAGCTCGTGGCTAGTTTTTTTACTCTATGGGGGGGGGGGGGANAAAAAAAAATTTTTTTAAAATTTAAAAAAAACTTTTTGTGACTGATTCCGTAACTTATCACTATTAAGAACTAAATAATTAGCAGATTAGAGATCGACTTTTTTGATATGTTTCTATTGCCTAAAATTCTGATCATAAGAGAAAGTTATTCAGGGAGATTTTTCAAGGCTTAGTATTAACAACTTGTTTATGATGGGAAAGTAAGCAATAACGTAATCGGAGGTACAAATTCATGAGTGGTAGAGTTCACACAATAGCGGCCAAAACAAATCAACTTTAGATTCTTCGGGGATAACTTTTATCACATTCCTCTCAAATTTAAATTTTACGATGATACAGATGAAGCGATGAAGTGTATTCAACAGAGGAGAAACTACAGTTATACATTACGAAATGTTATAAACAGTTTTAAAGTTAAATTAAAACAGTAAAAAGATAAATAATCGCCCAGAACATAGGATATGGCAACAGCGTATCGACTCCGGGTTCGCTTGCGGATTCAGTTCCTACAGATTTCTTGTACTACCTTTTCACAGGTAAATCTTTTCATATAATATTTAATGAACAGTGAAGATATCGGCCTATCTCGAATGCAAAGACCAACAGGGTTGTATAAAGAATGCTACTAGACCACCACCATTGTAATTTTAAAATGAGAACGAGGTTGAACGAAATGAGATGAGAACGAGGAACGAAATGAGGCCAGCCATTTGCCTGGACAGGCACTACACCTTTCGAAAGCTTACTCCTGCCATTTTTCTTGGTGGTAAGGATACGAGATAAGCCGATTGACATGGCTAAACTAATCGAGGCACTCCATAACGCGCATACTAAGCCTGTATATGCATGTGGATCTTTTGAGCCTGTGTTTCTGCTCATTATCCCTTTCTTAAATAGTTATTTCTGCTCAGGTTATTTGTTGTAAAGGTCCTATTTGTTTTAACCTGAAGCGACTGAGACCAGGGGAAAAAGCGCATGCCTTCTAAAGAATCCCAGCGATGGCTGGAATGAATGGAATTCTGCTTCCATCTCACACGGACCACAATGCTGATGTAAAATATCATCAGTTGCAGACGGAGTCATATGTTAGAATCTCCTTAGAGTCGGGCTATCCGTGAGATTGTTTTGTTGTTCCTCTAACCGTGTGACACAAAGGCGGTTAGTTCCACCTAAGAGTTCTCCCCGAAGGCTAATTTGTGCTAAGGCTTGATTGAACTATTCTATCGCCTTCTGTTTTGGGTTCCAAATTACAAGACTTAGAAGTTGAAAATGCAAAGTCGTAAAACTAAAAATGGATAAATAGTTCAATGCTGGTTATAATATATAAAGAAAACATGTATAAGCCACATTCGCTAATGGTGCTTTTTGTATTAAATCTTTTCTTATAGTTCGCATTGTGTATTGAATTCCATTTCATCCATGTTATGATACTTATGTCTAGTCCATTGCAAGTACCTGACTTCTTAACTTGTGATACATAAAGCTCCTTCATTTTTTATGATTAGTGGTTTAGAATTTCGGAGCTTTATATACCCAAAGCGATTGGAGTAGCAGAAGCGTGAGAGTTCTGGCGACTACCTGGCTATCAAGAAGTTAATGGGGATTCTTTTAAAGTAAATATCATTTGCGGACAGGGTTTCAAAATGGCTGTTGTGGACAGTTTCAAGACAAGACAGTCCATGGTTACAACAACAAGCCTTAATTTTCTGTTGAGACTATACGCTTTTTATGTTTGTCCTTTAATTTCAAAAACAGGTAGGATAGGAAAATACAAAACAAACAAAAAAAATGAATATTAAGAGCAGCGACTAACTGCATTATTTTGCTTTTGTATGAAAATGAGCAAAATGAAATGTAACGAATCCTTACTAGTACCCTAAAAACGTGTATGTCACTTAACGGTAGGTCCGCATATTTAGCAGACTTTGATCAGAACATAAACAGTTATCCTCGAAAAACCGAAAAGTGATATATTTGTGGCCACTAAAGTAACAAATAACAAATAAGAAAATGTTAATACAAACAAAGATAATACTCACCCATGACGACACACAATTTTACGTACTAATCTCAATTAGAGTAATCAGCAGAATTCATTGCAAAACTAGTTAAGCTACAGATTTCGCACTACTTTCTTGTTTTTCGCATAACTTAACTTTATTGTCTGGGTTTTCTGACCCGCAAAATAATATAAACGTCTGAAAAAATTATCTTTAGGTAAGAAAGGGGATAAAAATTAAGAATCCTAAACCAAGATCATCTGTCTGACATGATTCTTGAACACTTCATTTTTTTCGATACAAATCAATTACATAACAACACTCACAACAACAAAAAATATTTAAAAAATTGCACTTAGCTATTTTACGATCTAGTCCACTGCGTCCTATGCATCCAAATCTTGCTTTTCCAGGAATTTGAAGAAACAATTCCAATTAGACAACCCAGTCAAAATAAATCTGCAAGAAACAAGAACATATATAACAAACCAATTTTAAAAAAATAAAGAATAGTAAGATTTTAATGACAACAAGCGAAACGAACATCATCAATAAAAACCATTGTGCAGCTTTGAACGGTTGTATAGTGGGAAAAGCAAGATTGAGTGCTGCAAAAGAGCTTTATTTTTTTTAAGAAATTTTTTTCCCGTTTTTTTTTTAAAATAGAGGTTAAATAATATCTTAAGTCTTAACTTTAAAATAATTAAACCTATAAGAAATATTTCAGAAAAGTTTTTTACTGCTATTAATATTTGAAATGCACAATGAAAAAAATCAGCTTTTATACTATATACATCCTAACTAAATAGAAAAAAAGAATAACACATTGTTATAAATATACTTATATACATTACTTTAAAATAAATATTTTTATTGTAGATATAATAAATATAAAAATAGAAGTTTAGGCTGATCAAATAAAAAAAAAAGTAAAAGGGTTGCAACAAATTTCATGAAATTATTAATTCATGAAATAAATCATAAATTGAAAATTTCGCTTTCTTATATAATTCTTCACTTTAAATTTTCTAACTAACTTTTTTTATGATTTAAATTTCTATATTGTAAAACGAAAAACTCCTCTGCAAAATTTTTTTGAATATTTGAACTCTAAAGTATGTTAACGCGTAATAAAATATGCGCAATTTGCGTATCTAGTAGTTATCGACAATAGTCAACCTAATCTATGATAAAGTACCCCTACATAAAATCGAGTTAGCATATTTTATATACTAGCGAATTGTAATTTTCTAGTGGTAGACACACTACAGTACTCCCCCACCAGAATTATAGCTGTGATAGAATTGGATGTACGGATACCGCTGTGTTGCGAGAAGCCGAGAGAGCTGTATTAAGATCACTGTACTTTTGAGTGCTGATCGTGAGAGCGGTATTAAGTTCACGGTCGTGGTCACTACTGTGTTGCCTTCAGCAGTCGAGTGAATAAGTTGTACGTTGTGTGTGATCGAGACTGAGTAGCAACTGTGTGAGGAGGTTTATAATGTCGCAGTCACAAGTAGCAAGTCAATTGTTCAATGTTCACCATTCATAGAAGTAGGCGTGTTCAAATCGAAGTGGGAGTTTCTGTCAAAGCTGGTATGTTCACATCACGTTCAAAGGTCATCAATGAGGGGAGAGTAGATATCGACCTTGTCAACCTTCATTTATGGAAAGGTGAATAAATTTTTGATGTAGGGGTCTACATAGAATCGAGTTAACATGCCTTATATACTAGTGAATTGGAGTTTTGTAGTGGTAGACACTTTTCAAATTTGAAATTTATAAATAAAAAATAGATTTTCAAAGTCTTTCAATTAGAACGGCGCCATATTAACTTGTTTGAAATAATTGACCTTTTAATTATTTAAGTTTAACTCCTGGGGACATTCCATTGTCTCATTCGACTTTAGAAAATTCAGTGATTAGAATAATTTTTTGATGTCCTTAAAAAATGCTTTTAAGGCAGTAAAAAAGAAATTATTACTGTATTGATTTTTAGAAAGTCGTAACTAATTTTTTTGAATTTTTTTTTCAATCCAAAAGAACGTGTCATTATCTCCCGTAAATTATATTTTAATATCACAAGAATAAATATACTTTGTTACTAAATGATTCATACCAAGAAATTGAAGCGAAAACTTCAATGGCTTAAAAACTTCATCGGTTGAAAAAAAATATAAAGGTGGTAATAGAAGTTCATATGTATCGAGCGTTCAAAATATCAAGAGCTATTTACGCCTGGCTAGTCTTGACAATGGGAGCCAATTTTTGAGCACTCGAAACATGTCAACTTTTATTACCATTTTTTATATTATAGAAACAAATGTTTCGAACGCTCAAAACTAGACCTTCCATTCTCAAGATTCGCCAGACGTGAATGAGTCAAACAAAAGTGATTTGAAACAGAAAATGCACAATTGTCAACGAAAAATGAAACAAAAAGAAATACATATCTAGAAATACAGCGGTAGCCGAGGGGGAAACAAGAAAATAAATAAATGAAATAAGCTTTCCAGTGCAACCTCATTAACATCGTACAAACCAAACATGCATTAAAATTTACACTAAAGCACCATAGATGTGCTCGTTATGAAGAAAGAGTTAAATAAGCTATTCCCGTGCAATTTTATAATCTTGGGTACAAATACCATAATTCCTTCTACCCCTCTCACAACCTGTTACCCTTGAATCTTGTTTTATTTATATGAATGCAGATTCCTTTTTTGCGACATAAATGCTTTGCTCTCTCTTCCATATGGAATGGAAATGCATTTCTCTCTGATTTGCCCCCCACGGCTTCTGCGGTTTTTCCAGTTTTTTTTCACCTTTACGACTACTAACGTTCAACTCCGTAGCTTTGTAATTTTGAACCCAATCCAGAAGACAAGGGAACTCCTTGATCAAGTATTGGGCGAAACTTCTCTTCGTGGGGAAACTAAACCCTATTTGCGTTACATGGAGAAGAAAACCACGAAAACCTCCCACGGTTAGCCTGACGGTAAAGGGACTCTAACCCATATCAAGTTAAAACGTAAAACACAAATAATGACATAAAAATTTCGGGCGTTCAAATTCCAAAACAGTGGAAAATCGGAAATAATTGAATAATCGGTCCAAATTTTATTTTCAAAGGAGAGTAAAGAGAAAATATTTGTTTTTCGAACAGAAATCTGCCAAAAAATGTCCGTTACTTAATAACATCGTGCTAATAAATACGCTATTCCGAGCAAACAAACAAAATGTTAAATAGAAAAAAAAAAATTCTTCAGTTTCTATTTCATTCTTTTTTATTGCGTCAACTTCATAGCTTAGCAACAGAGTGGGTCGCTTAGCAACAAACTTGGTCTCCTTAGCAACGAAAATTAAATATTATTCTTTTGTTATCTTTAATTTCTCCTTCAGCTGCAGGGTATCGTTTGCATTTTATTTTGGACTATCGCCAAAAAAATATAGCTTCCCAATGTTCCTTAATGTTTATGATCCAATTTTTTCGAAATTTTGTCCATCCCACATTTTAAAAGCCAGGAAAATGCTATACGTTTATTCAAAAAAGAAAATATGAGGTTTGAAACATTGAAGCAGATAAGAATAGAAATTTTAAAATTCTATTTGAAATAAATTTCCACTTCAGACGATATTTCTTGAAAAAAAGGGGGGGAGGGACAAAATAGAATTGGTCTCCAGGAAGAAAAAGATAAAATCTCGAGATAATAAACAGTCAAATGGTTCCAAATTTTTTTCGCCTATGGACGGAACCCAGACTTTTTATCCAATTAAAAAATTAATTTTTAAATTTTTAATAATAATTTTTAATTAATAATTAATAATAATTAATAATTTTTAATTAAAAAATTAATTTTTTTTAATAAAATTTCATTCATAAAATCATTTTTCATTAATAATCTTAAATTAAGTTTTATATCAGACAGTTAAAATCGCACTCATAATCTATTAATTAATTATTTTCTGGTGTATATACATGAACTGAAAATCTATAAAGAAACATATGGTTTACTTTGAAATGTATACTAAAACCCTATAAACTCTTCCAGGGAACCTTGGGATTTCGGGGAACGCCATTTTTTAACGACAGGAGCAGAGGATAAATTCTCTACTTTTATCAACCTATTAGAATGCGGATTTAAAACTATTGATAAACATTCAAACAAGAAATAACCATTTCGACACAATCAAAACAACAAATCAAACACCTGCATTAAGAGAGAATAACTTGCTCATTTTCCGAACTCTGCGGCTAGTAAAAAAATAGTGAACTAAATAATTTCCTTTGTAATATTTACATATATTTGGCTACAAAAATAAATGTGATACATGGTTCAGGTTTCACTGCATGCTAATCGTGCAAATTTTTTTTTTCAATGCATGATTTAGAGACTTAAACATGCCATGAGATATTTTCCAACCCAAGTTTTCACAGGTTTTTTTTTAACAATTTTTAGTAATTGGTGTAATTGCAGCCTGTAAGCGAAATCTCTGATTAGTTACAATTTTTTTTTTTAAAAAGAGAATTATTGTACATCGAATGCAAGAAAAAATTAATGGATGAAAAACTCCAAAAAATAGAATTCAAGTGAGTTTAATAAAATTAATTATAATAAATTGCGAAATTTGAAGTCTAAAATTATTTCTTATTCGCGTAAGATTAGGCCAAACATGATAAAAAATAATATTAAAGGTGCTAAACTTTGTGTAAATTCTTAATTTAGTAAAATTATATAAGTTTAAAATAGCATGGGGCACTGAAGTAGGGACGCTGCGCGAAACCCAATCGATACTGCGTACTTCAGATAGCAAAACCACTTCCGGTAATCCTGACTTAAACTACGTCTGATCCCAAAACATAAAAAAAAAGGGTGGAAATAAACTTACAACAAAAAATATCACTAGAGTGACTAGGGACTATAGAACTCTTTTTTTTTTCGTTCTAGACAAAAATATCCGCGGTTTAAAATTAAGCTTATGATGTAAAATATTTCAAAAATTGCGTTAAGTATAAGATAAGTTTCAAAAATTTCTAATATCACTTAAAAAAATGCATTCAAAGATGTTGTATTCACGAAAAAGTCAAAATATGTTTCCATACATTAAAATAAGCTCATGGCTTTAAGAGCTCTCCAAGGAAAATAGCTTTTAAAAATGGCTAAATCTACCACAAATATAAAATCAGAACATTATCTAAATTACAGTTAAAAAAACATTAATTAAAAAATAGTTAATAAAAAACATTAAAAATTAAAGATTACTTACTAATCGAATGACACGCCACGCCATAGTTATCATCTACAGTAGAAGAACATGCTAACAGAAGAACATCTGGTACAACTGAAATAAAAAATGTATTTCAGATTTTAGAATACTGAACATCAAAAAAGAAAGAAAGATTTGCTTTGAAGTTGTGACGCAACAGATCAATCACCAATAAGAAATGGAAACTGCTTTCCCCCATTTCTGCTTCCCCTTCTTCTCAATAGTAGTTTGAAGGAATGAGTTTTAAAATGCCAATTTTGAATTTCTACGATCGTCTGATCCAACATTAAAAGTGAAATTTTTTACATCCACTAAGAAGACAAGGAAACTTCTAATTCAAGTATTGGGCGAAAGTTGCCTTCGCGGAGGACTTAGATCTGAGATATTCAAAATACCAGCTATATAAAAAATTGATTTTTAATTCATTTAAATGAAGAAAATTCGAAACTAACGGAAAAACAGACAAAACCCGCATGCTTTTTGATTTTGTGAAGCGATTGCGAATACTTAACTCGAAATTACGTTTGAATTTTCGGTTTAGTTCTAGAAATATTTTGTTTCGACAGTGTTTCTTTTGTAGGTTTTTTACGCGATATATTGAGGTGAGGGGATTAAAAAGGAGATACCTTTCTGAATTTTTCAAACATAAACATTTTCTTCATTTAACATTTTCTAAATGCGAATTTTTACAACGACCAAAACTAAATTGTCGCTGTAATATCATAGAATCAACGTTGGTAGAGGGGGGAGTACGTATTCCTTATAAAGTCCAAAACTTCGGAATTTTTTTTAAATGTCTAATTCCCCTCCCCAAAAAAGATCCTAAATAATTTCTAATTAATTAGTGCAGACGATATTTTAAGTTATGAAATCAAACACAAAGATATTTCTTTGAAGAAACACATATCCAATAGCCAATAGTTTAAACAGAAGAGCGGACTAGTTTTTGGATCTGAAAATTTTAATTTGACATTTTGAATATTTGACATTTTGACATCTTCAATATTTGAACTTGTGTAACTAATTGATAGTATTTAATTATTCTTCGTCGCCAATTAACACAATTTTTAAATGGATTTATATAAAAATTTAAAAAATTTCTTCCAGTTAGAGAATTAGATATTTTCATAATTTTACAAACTTAAACATATGTTTTAAATAAATTATTCTTCCTAAAATAACCATATAAAAATTGAAGAACTATAATAAAAAACATTTAATGCGTCTTAGCTATTCAATATCAGATAATAACTGATAATTATTTAATTTTCATCAAAATTTAATGTAAACACAAAACTCCATTGTTAAAAAAGAATTTTTTTTTAAAAAAGCAAACTTCTTGGTAAAACAAAAAAAATCAGTTAAATTCTATTTAAGAAACAAATGAAAAGAAAAAACAAACAGTAAACACAAAAAAAACTATAATAAGCGCAGCAGCGAAAATTGAAAAAATCGCTTACTTGAAAATGAAATTTTTTAAAAATATGAAGAATACATCGCCCTTGGAAGTAGATAACAAAACCCCTATTCATAAAAACAGATTCAACATTTTCAAACTACAATTCACTGATCTTATACCTTATCCCCCCTTATTTCCGATTTGGATTGTTCCAACTAAAGTCGCCAATTCAAAATCTCCGATTGAATAGTTCCGCGTCAATGTTTGAATTTAATGATACTTACTATTTTTACAAACTAGAATTTTCTAAAGTATATTAAAATAAGTTACGAAATGCTTTACGATTTTAAAATATGCTGACATAAATCAAAACTCGAAGTATGTTTATTTCGCATTTCAATCACATAGACGAAAACATAATATGAAGAAACAATAATGAATTTACGAATGAAATGGACGAAAATCGTACATCGTACACATATTAAAATAAATTTTATATGGGTATACGATTTTCGAAATTGTTTTCATTATCTCGTTTCTAAATAAAAACAATTTATCTATCCAAATTTCCAATGAAGTTCTTCTACAGCATCATTTTATTACTACCTTTTAGTAAACTTGTTTCCATAATTGAGAGGATTGAAACTTGCGATCAAAAATTCATCAACTTCCCGATTGACTAGAACTCTCAAATCTCATCCGGAGCACCGCAGCTTATACTAGTTTTAAGAGTTTCCTGTTTGCATTTATGACCAAAATGAGTTTAGAGTCAATGAAAATTTGGACCAGTTTCCGACTAACTGAAGTGCTCAAATGCTATCTTAAACTTTATGCTTCATAACGATAATTAAGTACAAATTCACTTATTTTGAATTTAAATTTTATATTGATATTTTTTGGATTCTAATTTTATGTTGATTTTTCATGATTGGTATTTTTATATTATCTCTTTCATAGCTTATTAAAAAATATTCTGATTTAATAAATCAAAAGTCTTTCTTTTCAACAAAGAATATTAATTAATTTCGAAATAAATTGATGGATATCTATAACAAATTACATTTAAATCTTGAATAAAACTTACTTCATATTTTTTATTTAATTATTTAGGATTTTTGTTTTAATTTAAATAAAATAATTAGAAATTTTTTTCTGATATAGAACATACCCAATTTTTTATATTTTTCTGGAATATTCATTCTTTAAAAATATTTTCAGGCGATTTAAATAAAATAAAAATTCGAAAAGTTCGGATTTCAAAAAATTAAAAATTTCTTTCCCGCAAGATTAAGTAGTTGAAAAATATACAAGTAAATTTCAAAGAATTATTAAATTTACAAATTTAAATTGCACTCTTAAAGTAAATTGTGGTTATAAAAATTACCTTTACTTCTTCTTGAGAATTGCACTCATTTCTTTCCCACTTTGATACATTTTTAAAAGAGATTCACAATAATAGTTTAAAAATTAACTCAGAATAATACTTTAAAAGTTAAATATTAAACGTTCCCGTGTTTTGTGCAAGTCAGAAATAATGTTAAATGTGATATATTTATAACCAGTTTTTAAATAAAAAATATGACTTAACAAAACGTTTACCTATTTATTAAAATAAAAAAACATTTCACAACAATTCAAAACAATAAAAAACACTTCAAACATTTCACCCTACTCTTTCACAAATAAAATTTAATATGTTTATTTTTAACTTTTGCATTTCGAACAAAAAAATAACTTATAAAACAATTACCTTTTAGCCTGGTGTGATCCCATGCTGTGTGCGTTGCGTCAGACATTTTTTTTAAAAATGCATCTACTACGTTTTCACTCTCAATCTTCGTTTCGAATTCTATTTCTGTCGCTGAAGATTTGATTTGAGTTCATAATTATTGTTGGGAGTTGCTCTAACAATTTTGGGAGAACATCCCATTTAAAAAAAAAAAAACACACACAAATTTCGCATCTCTTAAGTGACAACATCCTTTGTTTACAAACGCTACTGAAAGAAATTTAGCGATTGGAGCAAGTTAGACTTGAAAGTTTTCGAGCCAAGAATGCCAAGTGGTGCCCGAAATCGTGTGTCTTTCCGTGAAAGCGTCCTGGACTGTGACACTAGGTTAAGTCATCTAAATAATTTTTCTCGCTCTAGTTAAGCTGAGGAGGGCTAGATTAGGGATTTCCAACTTACATGAGGCCATGGGCCGCAATTAAAAGCACCAGTCAAATGGCAGATCGTAACTTTATCAAAATTTTATATAGGACTCTTTTATGTTTGAAGGAACATTAAATATAACTGTCTGATTTTTATCAAGTTGTACAAAACATAAGTATTGAATAAAAAATTCAAAAACGAAGCAGATTATTTATTTGAATATTAAAAAGTTCTGGTGACAAAATGGACTTAATTATTTGAAAAATTTAATCAATTTCGTCCAAAATGAGTGGTTCCAAAAAGTTAAATCGGAAAATTTCGGTCGGAAAAGTTAAATCGGAATATGTGTGTATCAGAAAATTTCTGATACACACATACTAAATTATATTCACAAAATTTAAAAAAAAAAAAAAAAGAGACGAAATAAAAGAGAGCAACATACACGTTTATTTTTGTATTTGAATAAATATTTTCTTGGGTGCAAAACTTGAAAAAAGAATTTTTTTTGCACCGTTGTTATGTTAAATTTCACAGAAACATATTTTAAACCCATATAGATTTTTTTTACGAAAATTGTCCGCAAAAAATTACAACTAATATATTATAGTTCGCGGGCCACCAAAAAAAAAAGGCTCCGCGGTTGGTATTCACTGGGCTAGATTAAGGTCCTGAAAAGATTGCAAGTTCGTACCCTGAAAAACCATCCTTAAAACTATCGTTTAATCTTAGAACAAGAACGTTTATAGTTCCTGGGATTCATGAACTTTGACGTCTGCAATATTTTCCAGCCAAAAGGCGGCATATATTGTTCCTGGGTAAGATAAGCTACGGGATAGGATGAGACATTTATGAGAATTTTAACTATAGTATTATTCCAATTTTAAACTAAACTTGAATCTGTCTCTTAAATAGGCGTCAAAATAGGCTTCTCAAGGCGTCAGATTCGACTGTATGGAAAAAGTTTTCTTAATATCGAAATTTTTTAAATTTTAAAAGCTAGTTTAATATTAGAATACAAATATTCAAGATTAAAAGTGCGAAAAACATTTCTAACCGGTGCTTTTTAAATTTTCTATAGGGTTAAAGAACCCGGACAAAGTCAAACTTTTTCAAAATATGCTGAGATTTTTTTAATAATGGTTTAGAGGATTCCGGATGCAATATATTAATAGTAAATGAAATCACGCATACTAGTTGTAGTTCATTTACGTCGCACTAGAGCTGCACAATGGACTATTGGTGACGGTCTACGAAACATCCCTGAAGATGATCCGAAGACATGCCATCACAATTTTGATCCTCTGCAAAGGAGATGGTACAACAGCTTCGTCAGCCCGCCAACCTGCACGCGAAGTTGAACACTTTACGTTAGAACAGTTTAACGAGGACCCATACCGCAGACCCTAAGTCCCTACGCAAACTAATCCAAGTGGCTACCCACTCGCACACTGACCGCAGTCACTGATGCTTGACTTCAGTGACTTCTATAGTCCAAACATTTCTGCTGGAGGATATTTTTATATGTGAATTAGGGGGAGCAGGGGGGGGGCGCAAAGTTCAATTGCATAGCTGACTGTGAGAGGACTTTTGAAGCGAAATTGTGGCGGGCTTCTCGTGTTCGAGTGGTATGATAGTCAAGACACCCGACTAGTAACTGACGGCTAGGGCGAAGGTGCGCAGGTTCGAATCCCTGCTTCAGCAACTTTTCAAAAAAAAAAAATTTTTTTTTTTCTTCCGCTTATTTTACATTATATTATTTTTTCAATGTGTTTTTCTATATTTTAGAGGGTCCTACATATAGGAAATAATTTTTTTAAGTTGGGAAAATGGCGAATAACAGGTAAAAACTGGAAAAATCCAAGAAAATTGGTTTTTTTTTCATTGTTTTAAATTATTTTTACAATATATTCGACAGTTTATCATACCTAAGGAGTTCTATGCGTAGAATCGAGCATCTTTCTTTGCTATAGAACGCATAATGGAACAATAATAAAAAAAAAGAAATGGCGAGGTGGAGTTCGAATTTCGAAGCCATATAACTCCCTTCAATATTTAGTTATAATTATCAAACTCGGTCCCTAACTAGGGGTCAATGGTCCAAATATTTCTGCTGGAGGAAATTTTTATATGTGAATTAGGGGGTGCAGGAGGAGCCTCAAAGTTCAATTGCATAGCTGACTGTGAGAGGACTTTTGAAGCAAAATTGTTGCAGGCTTCTCGTGTTCGAGTGGTATGGTAGTCAGGACACCGGACTAGTAACTGACGACTGGGGCGAAGGGGCGCAGGTTCGAATCCCTGCTTCAGCAACTTTTCAAAAGAATTTCTTTTATTTTCCTCCGCTTATTTTACTATATATTATTTTTTCAGTGTGTTTTTCTATATTTTAGAGGGTCCAACATATAGGAAATAATTTTTTTAAATAGGAAAATGACGAATAACGGGTAAAAACAGGAAAAATTCATTAAAATTGGTTCATTTCCAATGTTTTAAATTATTTTTACAATACATTCGACAGTTTATCATACCTAAGGTGTTCCATGAGTAGAATCGTGCATCTTTGTTTGTTAAAGAACACATGATGGAATAATAATAATAAAAAATATGAATAAAAAAAATGCCGAGGTGGAGTTCGAATTTCGAAGCCATATAACTCCCTTCAATATTTAGTTATAATTTTCAAACTCGGTCTCTAAGTAGGGGTCTATGATCCAAGAATTTCTGCTGGAGGATATATTTATATGTGAATAAGGGGGTGCAGGGGGGCCCTCAAAGTTCAATTGCATAGCTGACTGTGAGAGGACTTTTGAAGCGAAATTGTAGCAGGCTTCTCGTGTCCGAGTAGTATGGTGGTCAAAACAC